GTTTTGGTTTTCATATTTTTCAGTGGGATCAATGAACTGACTTTTTTCTCACACTAATTCATGAGTATTTCGATGCTTCTGTCGTAACGTCGAGTGCGTTTGGTTCCCAGTGCTGCTTTTCTACTGTATCTCAATGGAGAACATTTCCAGCTGGACGAAGCCCATGGGTGAGCTAACAGACAAACACTCCATCTCAAAGCGCTTTACCACATGCTTCAACTGCCCTCTCGTTAATTCTGATTATATATACAAGTTTATGACCTTCTAGATGTTTTAACAGAGGCATGATTCAAAGGAGGATATGGTTTGATGTGGATAATAATAGACTGGAACATGAGATTACAGCACATGCATTTAGAGGAGGATAATAGTCTCCGTTCTGGGCTGCGTTTCCCAAAAACATTGTAAGCTTAAGTACATCGTAGACCCATTGAAACCAATGGAGCTACGATCAGTTTAGGCTTATGATGCTTTTGGGAAACGCAGCCCTGGACCTTCAGCTAAATGATTATTTTCTCTCAAGCAGTTTGGTGCATAAGATCCTTACTTTTCTACATTAATTATTTACTTTTCCCAGATTTTATATCATTTTAGCCAATTTACAGACACTATGTAGTTAAAAAGACACTACTGTTACATAACATTACAAATAACATAACATAATAGGGGTGCGCCGATCCGATATTCAGGATCGGTATCGGCTCCGATACTGGCATTTTCTGCTGGATCGGGGTATCGGTCAGACGAGACCGATCCAAATCCGATATAGTGCGTATACTATTCTGTGTTTTTGTTAAGCCCCACGAAAGGCACAAAAACATTATAAAGCACCATAAAGTTTCTGTGCACTATATTTCAAGTGTTCTGAGACCGTTCCATAGTTTAATGAGAGGTACAGATGAGTATTTAAGTTGTTAAAACAAAGAGCAATGTGTAACATTTGACCAGATTACACCTATTTACTTTTATTTTTTCTCCCACTAAATGTTTTTTTCTCTAAATGTTTAGATTTGATAAAATCATTGTGAACTCATCATTTTTGTAGTGTAACTTTTGCTGCTGAATAGTATTTTTCTCATTGATTATAATTATATATTTTTTAATTTGTTATTTTTCTTTATAATGAAGTTGTCTATATTTAGTAGATTGTGTGTAATACACAAAAGAGTGATGATCAGGTCAACACACACTGAGGTATAGAAATTAAATTTAAAAAACTGTGCTGATAATAGCCTTTCTTGTTCTGTCTTATCTATCATATGTTGCTGCCTCATTACTGTGCTATAAATGTAAAATACATTTATTTAATTTATTGCATATATTTATATATAATTATATTTACTTGTTTTTCATGAATGTATATTACAATACAAAGAGCAATGTGTAACATTTGACCAGATTACACCTATTTACTTTTATTTTTTTCTCCCACTAAATGTTTTTTTCTCTAAATGTTTAGATTTGATAAAATCATTGTGAAAACTTACAATGATTAACTTTTGATCAAAAAATAACTTTTGCTGCTGAATAGTATTTTTCTCATTGATTATAATTATATATTTTTTAATTATATATTTTTCTTTATAATGAAGTTGTCTATATTTAGTAGATTGTGTGTAATACACAAAAGAGTGATGATCAGGTCAACACACACTGAGGTATAGAAATTAAATTTAAAAAACTGTGCTGATATCGGATCAGTATCGTTATTGTCCGATACTCAGAACTTTTGGTATCGGATCGGGATCGGTTCTGAAAAAATGGTATCTATAACATAACATAACATAACATAACATAGGTATCGGATCGGGTAACATAACATAACATAACATAACATAACATAACATAACATAACATAACATAACATATAACACATAACACATAACACATAACACATAACATAACAATATAACATATAACATAACATAACACATAACATAACCTATTATAACATAACATAGCATTACATAACAAACAAAATATAACATAACATAAACAAACCATAACGTAACAACATAACATAACAACATAACATAACATAGCATAACATAACATAACATAGCATAACATAACATAACATAACATAACATAACATAACATAACATAACATTACATAACAGAACAAACAAAATATAACATAACATAACAACATAACATAACATACATAAAAACTGACTGTTTTAAACTGCGTAATTATGTCATCTTAAAGGGGTCATATCACAGTTTTTTTTTTTTTTTTACATTTATCATTTATTTTTTCCCAGATATTGTTTTTTAGCCAATTTACAGACAATATGCAGATTACACAAAGTGTAAAAATGACCTTGACAAGCATTTAATTCAGGAGGCAAAAATAGGGACTTAATGAGAAATGTTTATTTCTGAGGCTTGTTACTTTACATAAAATTACATATATAAAACTGAACTTAATAAACTATTTCAAACTGCGTAATTATGTCATCTTAAAAGGGGTCATATCATATTTATTTGTACATTTTTGTTCCAGATAATGCTATATAATTTTAGTTAATTTACAGACATGTAGTTACAGTTTTTTAAAATTACATTAAAAGTGATACTCGAGTCCCACTTAGTGAAGCCATTCACTCACATACCTAACCTTTAGACCAAGTCTGCAAAACTATAAGCACATTACATGCTTTAAACTCAGTTTGATATTGTACAACAAACTTTTTGCAAAACTCTAATCAGAGTTCTCTACATTGCACACATCATTCAAAACTAACAGCTCTTTTCTTTAATTTGGGAAACACTTAGTAATCAAAACTCTTTTTTTTTAGAAAGAAATTATTTTTACCCCTTGCATTTCTGTTTACATTGTTTTATAAATAAAACGAACTTTCTGACTTGGCTTATATGCATATTCGTGTGTGTGTGTGTGTATGTATATATATATATATACATATATACGTATATATAAGCAAACATATACATATGTGTATTGTTTTATGTTTATGTATATGTGTGCAAGATGTGTGTGATGTTTTGTAAGCATTTTGAAAAAATTGTAATATAAAGTAAAGTAAAAAATAAAAAAAAGACCCTGAAAATATATTCTGAAGGCAAATTTGGCCACTTAATGAGAAATTAATTTTTGACACCGTTGTTATATAAAATAAAATGACAGTATACAAAACCGTACTTAATTGCCTCTTTCAGACTGTGTTCTCATAAAGGGGTCTTATTTACTTATTCATTTATTTTCCAGATAATGCTATTTAATTTGAGTAAATTTACAGACATTATGCAATTAATATGAAGTGTAAAAATTACCCGAAAAATTTGATTCAAGAGGGCAAATTGTGACACTTAATAAGAAATGTTTGTTTTTGAAACTGTTGATACACTTGTAGCAACTGTTTCAAAATTAACTTTTAACTGTTTCAAACAGGGACATTATGTCATCTTAAAGGTATCACACTCTTGTTTACATTTGTTAATTTTTTTAGATAATGTTTTTAAAAAAAAAGTTTTTTCCAATTTATAGACACTGGTATAAAGCATATATTTATGGTATAAAAATGACCCTGAAAATCAACTCAGCAGACAAATATTAACACTTATTAATGTGTAATTAAATGTAATTTCTGTAGTTACATAACATAAAACTGATAACTGTTTCAAACTCATCTTAAAGGGGTCATTATTTTTATTTATAATTATTTTCTGTGCCAACATCTTACGTCAATTTCTGCTGCTGTTTAAGAACACTATCTATCCTATTTCTTCCAAATTGTCTTATTTCAGGATGAACCAAGTTTTTGATAGATGTAAATGTTGACCGTCACTTGTGGATGTTCATCATTTGTACTCATTTGTAAGTCACTTTGGATAAAAGCATCTGCTAAATCAATAAATGCAAAGTAAAAATGAATCGTTTCTGCAGTTTAGTTTAATTAAAGGGACAGTTCATCTAAAAATGTTAATCTCATCATCATCATGTCATTCAAACCTGGACGACTTTCTTCTGGGGAACACGAAACAAGATATTTTGAAGATCTTTGGGGTCTAAATGACATTGGACCCCAATGGCTTTCATTATATGGACACGAAAATACATTTTTCAAAATATGATGGTGAAAAGGTGATATTTGTGAGTGAACTGTCCCTTTAAGAGATTCTGCTCATTCTCTGTATGTGATCAAGTGTGCTTCTGGTCCAGTTTAGAGAACATTCACTATATCTTTTTATGTTATATTATTCCTACATTCTCTGTTCTTCTGTTCATCCACAGGCTCAGAAAATAGAGGGCAAAAATTTTAGGGCAAAGCGGTGAGTTCTTCTGTTTTTATAGCTGTTATGCAACATGTCATGTATTTAATAACATTCTTTTCTAGACTTTATTGCCTCTAGAGACTAATATGAAGCACAGAAATGACCTTGAAAATCAATTCCAGGAGGCAAATATTTAAACTTTATAAGAAATGTTAATTTCTGACGGTAAGAGTTCATCAATTAATGTCCATAAAACTAAACTTAATTAACTTTCTACAGAATCTACAGAAGTGTTTTGACAGACTTTGATGATTTTCACAACAGATCAAACTCTATTACAGTTTTTAACGTTTTATGAAACTATTTTGATTTAACACTTTCCATGAGCATAAAGTCTGATCTATTCTAATTTCATCTTTAATTTGATCAAATGTTCAAATGCTGCTGAATTGAGATGAAAACCTGTTTTTCAAGGTAAAGCAAAGTGCACTTTCTAGCCAATGCATTTTGAATAAGTTAAAGCAACAACTACAACTTGTTTAAAGTTAAAGTTGTAACTAATATAAATGTTTTTAACCTTTGGAAATATATTTGAAAATGACTTTAGTTTTATTAAAAATGTTGACTGACAGACTGCACAACGACATTTTTGTTGGTATTTTTACTTCTTATAATGACGATATTTATATTCTATTCGCAGATTCATAGTATTTTCACATTCTTATTAAATCTCTAACCCTAAACAAATGAAATGAAACACTCACCAAACAGCATCATCAGCAGCAGCAGCAGCAGCAGCAGAAGCAGACACACAGCCATTATTCCCAAAGAATGCAAGCGATTTTTCTTCAGCATCTTCCTTTCTCAGATTAATCACACATGAAGTTTCTCTTTTATCCAGATCTTTAAGATTGTAGTCCGACGACATCCATTGGCACTGGAGAAACATCTGAAACAGTCGTGCTTCAGCAGCAGATTCATATAAGAGCAGGAGTTACTGCTCCCACAGGAGATCATGCAGCAATCCACGGAAAACCATTAGATGTTAGAAGAACCCAGCGCCTAGCCTGACTGGAGACAGAGAGAGAGAGAGAGAGAGAGAGAGAGAGAGAGAGAGAGAGAGAGAGAGAGAGAGAGAGAGAGAGAGGGAGGGGGGGGAGAACATCACAGTGGAGTCAGCTGTCTTAACCGTGGCTTGTGTACTGCAAACACATAGCAGTTTCATCACTGTGTCTGTCACGCGACTCTGTTCCCCTTTCGGGCTCTGTCTTTACATTTCTGACGAGTGCTTGCGGTGTTCGGCCAATCACAATGCACTGGGTCAGCTGGCCAATCAGAGCAGACTGCGCTTGTCGGAAGGAGGGACTTTGTAGAAAACGAAGCGTTTGAGAGAGGCGGGGCATAGAGGACCTACAATAATGTACAGTATTTGAAAAATAATGTGTTTTTTGAACATTAAAGCATGTCAACATATTCTGTTACACCAAATACACAAAATAATGATCTTTAAGAGGGAGATAAAGAGAGAGAGAGAGAAGAGGGAGAGAGAGAGAGAGACTCAGCGGACACAAGCTGATGATAGAGACGGGCAGACACA